GGCAACAGCCAGGAAGCCTGTGAAGTGCCGGTCTCTGCTCAGCCAGCTCTCCTGCATGCAGAGCGGGTTCTGGAAGATTCGCTGTGCGCGTGGGGTAGTGAGTGGCACTGGGGTACGCTGTCTACAGCAATACCCAAACCGAAACCGAGAACTTCTTTCATCACGTGGCTTTCACCGTGCGTATCGCCTACTGGGACATTCATCGCATGCTGTTCGTGACGTGTCTGTGACACTGTCCCCCCATCCTTGCGTTAGTCAGATGGCATTGTCACCGTCACCTGCTTTCCCAGCTTGCATGCTGGTCTGTGGTCCTCAGCGCTGCACCCCCAAGACCTAGCACGGTGCCGGGCACAGGGTGTGTCTGGAAGGAGTGAATGAGAAAAAAATTCAACTTTCCGGAACGTTTTCCACCTTATATATCACAGGGCCCGCCACCCGGAACTCAGTGGATCCGAGGAGACTGATGGGGACAGCTCATTTTCACCATGGCCGGGGGCTTCTGCCAGGCATAGAAGGTGCTAGAAGAGGGCTTTGGAGGAAAAGGCTTTTTTTTTTTTTTTCCTTTCTCCTCTCTGCCGATGGAGGCTGCCCTGCTTCCTGTCTCAGTCTGAATCCAGGTGCTGACACTTCCCACTCAGGAAGCTCTTAGTGGCTTTCTCTCTTATCCGACTGGATAAATAATTTAGCCTGTTCCGACGCCAAGTCTGGGCTGCAGCGTTGCCAAGGAGGAGACACGCGGGCCTCGGTTCACCGGACGGCTCTGCCGTTCGTGGGCCCTCCTTCAACGGGCCACGGTGACGGCGAGAGGTTTCTGAGCCACAGCAGAGGCCGGATTTCCTGTCCGTGGGTCAAGAGGGCCACAAAGAAGAGGATTTACCCGTAGCGACCGAGCCCAGCAACCACCCGCCAGGTAAGAACGAGATGGTGAAGCTGTCCGTTTCGGTCAGCCCCCAGAGATGTCACGAGGCCAGTCTGTGTCACGACCACCTTGGAAGGCCGGGAAGGGGAAGGAAGCAGCTCAAATGCCAGTCGCGGGGAGCCAGGTTGGGGGGCATCGCGCAACCAACCCCCTGAATCTAACTGAGAAGTTTCCCCCGAAAGCCATTAGGAAGCCTCCCTCAACGTTACGCGTGTAAAGAATGGGCGGTATACGTCTACCCCAAACGGCAAAAGACATTCTGTGATAAAGACATCTGCGCCCGAGTGTTTACGGCGGCACAATTCACCATTGCGAGGATGTGGAAACAACCCAGGTGCCCGTCGATGCATGAGTGGACTATTAAAATGTGGTCTATGTACACGATGGACTATCACTCAATCATAAGCAACGACAGTGATCTAGCACCTCTTATACTTTCCCGCATTAAACTTAAGCCCGTTATCCAAGGTGAGGCAGCACAAGATTGGAAGAACGGGCTCCGCTTGTACTTGCCATCAGATTGGCACTAACTGATCGACACTAGGGTGCTCACACGGTAGTAATACTCTCCAGGGATTAGGGGGATGGGGGGTAAACCTGCAACTAAAGGACTCGGTCAGCATTGTAGAG